ATTGACCGGCAACTATCCTGGAATGATCATGTTCAAATTGTGTGTAAATCATTCAACAAGAAACTAGGTGTTTTGAAGAGAATTAAGTTTTTACCTAAGTCCACCTTGGTGACTATCTATTTCAAGACCATAATCCCATCCGTCCTATATGGTGTTGCTGTTTGGGGGTCATGCTCTTCGGCCTTACTGGAGAAACTTGAGCGTATTCACGCATGAGCTACGCGGCTAATCCATAATCTACCGAGGGAAACAACCATAAATGACTTGAGAAATCTAAAGGGTTGGTCTCCCCTTTCCCACTTCTCCACTGGAAGACCACCAGACACGTCTGTAATACAAAGAGTCTCATTTGGGGACAAGCCCACAGGAACGATCACTGCTGTTGCATTGAGAAAAATGGCAGCAGATGAATATCCCAAAGCGGCTCAGGCTATTAATCCCACTCGACCGTGCCATATGGCACTCTTATGTAACACCCCTCAAATTCCCAAGCATGCCATATGGCACTCTAAATTAAGGTCAATTCTAACCAATAAGAAATGGTTATTTTTGTTTTTTCTGCCCTATTGTGTTTTAAGCATAGGGTTAGAGTAGAAGCTCAGTTCAAGCCAAGTTTCAGGGGTGGTGCTCGTATGAATTTATTGAGAAATTGCAAGTTGAAATTTGTTAGCGTAGTTTTAAAATGGCAGCGCTCTTAGATTTAAATAGCAAGGAAGAAGAGTGCATTGGCTTCACTATTGAATTGAGATTCAAGCAAGATAATCGTGAGTTAGAATCTGACATTTCTGTTTCATCAGTTGACACAGAGGATTAGTCAGATCTCAATCTTAGTGAATCTCAGGAAAGTGGCGATGAATACAAACAAGAGTGGAACCAGGACCCTTGTCCAGTTGTTGCGAATCCGTTTGTCACAAAGTTTGTCACAAATGCTGCCCTGGTTGGGGATGTTAGAGGTTACTCGACCCTTAGCTTTTTTAACTTAAAGTTTAAGGACAGCAATTTTGACAGAATTGCAAACGAAACAAATCGATATGCGCGGCAAGCAATGGAAACAAATCCGGACCCTGCTTGGCATGAAACCGACACCTAAAAAGTGAAGGCATTCTTCACATTAAACATCCTGTTTGGGATTAAACAACTCCCCAAAATCTATTCCTGCTGGTCGAAAAATCAGCTTCTCAGAGTCCCAGAAGAGCATAACATTTTTCTGAGGAACCGTTTTGCGAAGATATCCCAATATCTTCACCTAAACGATAAGGACATGTAAACCATGACAAATTATTTTGAGTGTGACCTCTTCTTCATTCTATTGTAGAGGGCGTTAAAAGCAAGCACAGGCTGTCAAAAAATGTTTTGATCGATGAGGCAATGATTCCTTTTAAAGGAAGACTTTCCCTAAAACAATATATGCCGTTAAAATCAGTGAAGAGGGGAATTAAAGAGTGCAAATGCACAGATTCGTCGAATGGCTTTGTTTGCGATTTGGAGGTGTACACAGGAAAACAAAGTTATGGTAATCCCGCACAAGGACTCGGACACCGTATTGTCCACAATCTTACTTGCCTCTTGGAAGGCAAAAATCATCATGTTTTTTTTGATAATTTTTCACTCACTCTCTTGGAAGATTTTGCTTTAATTTATATCTGCGGAACTGTTCATAGAAATCAACAAGGCATCCCGCAACAAAGTGCCCCTTCGACTCCACCAAGGAGAGTCATTGTTCCTTCACAAAGAGAATATTGTTGTAACTGTATAAAAGGATAAGAAGGAAGTTTATTTTTTGAGCTCCCAATCCGATCCCGTGGGGGAACGACACTGTCAGTAGACGGCAACACGATGGAATGGTGATTCAAGTTCCTGACACCCCAGTCATGAAGACCTACAAAAGAATATGGGTGGTGTAGACCTGAACAATCAAAAGCGGGGCCATTACGTGGCTAGAAGGAAATCGAAAAAGTGGTGCTGTTGTCTTATGTGGTTCTTTGTGGACGTTGCGATTGTGAATGTGTACATTTTGGAAAAACTGTCCCCGCATCACCAATCAAGAACCCAACTGGCCTTTCATTTAGATTTTGTGAAGTTGCTGATCAGAAATTTTCTAGCATGGCAATTGCCGTCAAGTTCTGGGTGCCTAGAAGGAGGGTTTGGCCCATAAAGTTCTCTAAAGGTCGCTGTAAGCTCTGTTTAAAGCGAAAAAGGGAGACGTGGTGCAGAATGGCTTGTGAACTCTCCAGTAAATGCATTTGTTTAGACTGTTTTAAGAACCATACCGCAGAGGATCTTTCTTGAACATTGGCACTAAATTTGAAATCTCAAGCTTGGATTTTTTGACCCAAGTGATGGCCATTGGCCCTGTAAAATCAATTATAATTATAAAATTAATTACAGCTATAATATTAATCTACAAGATAATAATGTAAAGGGTTCGTACGCTTTTTTGGACTTAAAATTCAAGGAATTCTCAAGGACTTTCAAGGACTCCATGTGCAGCAAAATCAAAGGATGTTCAGCTTCTCATAGTAACGATTGTACCAAGCTAACAGACCGGTAAAAGTCCATGTCCTCTTGAGTTCATCCACAACATTCGCAATTTTGTCCTCAATGTCTTTGCGAGTCACCTCCTATTCTTTTGCAGTTCTCCTCAAACTATGACTTTGTAATCCACACAAGTTTCCCAGTATCCTCTGCTTTCTATGCAAACTCGTCTGCTGATTTAAGAAGACCATCAACATCAGTTTCTAAACACCTTTTCTTTTTAAGTTCATCGATTTCATTGACTAGCTCTTTTCGCTTCAGTTGTACACCCTCAGATGTTTTCTCCCTCTATGGTGTGTGCAGTTCTACACCCTCAGATGTTTTCTTCCTCTTTTGGCTACAGCATGTGCAGCTCTTGGATGGTGGCTGCACATGCTGTAGCCTCTGCTCCTCTTGCATTTTGTATATTTTTATTACAAATTCTGTAACTAGTTAACCATAGATTTTCTCTTAGTTTTAATATATATACTACTGTAAATAGCTCTTAATCTTTTTTTTTTTAGCGTCCCCAAATTAGTAAGGGATTTTTCCCTAGCTAGACGGCTCTTGACACTTTTAATAAAGTTTGACTACTATTACTACTTTGTTCATCAAGATACAATGAATACTTCTGCCTAGCTCCTGCAGCTGACCAGAGCAGAGGTTTGTTGATTGAAACAGCAAAGACACCTCCCACAGATTGTACATGGTCTTATACCAGCCTTTGAGAAATGAAGGAGCACTCTTGAAGGTTCTCAACTTCCAGTTGACTTATAGGAGTAATGAGACATCACTTTCAATGCCCACAAAATTTCTGCCTTTAACGTCTCATCACAAGTGACACTTTTTTCATCACCAATCCAGATGAACTTGCAGTGATAGACTTTGTGGGGTTAAGCTTAATGTGTCCGCCGCTTTCAGATGAGGTGGATTTTGAAACTACTTTGGCATCGTCACTTTTACTTGCTGGTTGTTGAGAAGAAATGCCAAAAAAATCTGGGACGCTTGCTAATGACCTTTTCTGGGAGGTCAGTGTTTGATGTTTTTAACTCGTGAATTGCGCAGATGCGCAAGAGCGAGTTGTAGGTATGATGTGATGAATGGCACTTGCTCGCTCGATTGGTTGATTCCAGTAAACTTTTAACTATTTTAGGCTTTTGAATGCATTTGATAGTTTTTGATGACAGATAAACAAACGAAATGGCGACCTTTGTTGCTAAGAATAGTGTTGGGGCGAAAAAGAAGCCAACGATAATCTTGAAAGAGTAAAAAAGTATATGTTTTTCATTTGTGAATTAATTATAGTTTGCCCAATCTCCGAATACTCTTTTATCTCTTGTAGCGTATATTTCATTTATGGAGTCAATACTTCAAAATGCAAGATTTACTCGAGGATGGCGGATTTGAACCACCTACCTCGCTACCCTGGGACTGTCATCTACCGCCTACTTTTTACCGTAAGTCCACCGAGCCTCCTTGAAAAATTGCATTGAAACTTTACTTAATTATAATTTTTACATTTAAAACGCTGATGTTTTGGTAATTTCAACCGCAGGCTCAAACAACTCGAGTCGCTGCTCAGCGATAGTCCAATATTGAAGTGTTGCCCATGGCCAACTGCTCGTAAAGTGACTTGTTTGAGGCTTGTTTGGTATTCCCGGAGCTGTATTGATGTTGGAAAGTGGTTCACAAATGGGAACTGCATTGAAAGAAACTCAAGCATAATAATTTCAATCAATCGATATGCTGTTTCTTCAATGGGTTAACTCACACTGTGTATGCGTATGTTATTAGCGCACTGTTAAGTTTGTATGTTTCCAGATACCTTGAATTAAGGATTTTTTTCTTAAAAATGTGTCCTGGAGTGAGGAACAGGAAGTTCAAAAGATGAGGATTGATATCACTCAAAATGAGTGTAATTATCAGTTCTCAAAACAAGGAATATGCACTGACAGTGAGTGACAAATACTGCCTAAAACTGATAGCAGAGTCCTTACTTTAAGGTGACTGAAGTTTCTCATAGTAAGACCTATTTTTTTCAAAATGAGTAAGTAAACATCTCAAAAGAGAGCACTTACTCCTCAAAGATTGTTAAATAATACATCATCCCTATGTCCTTGAGACAAGGATCTCAACTCCAGGAAGTAGTTCTTGCTATCATTCAATATTTTGTGCATGTAAACAGGTTAGCCAGGCCATACTACAAACTCAACAACAACTTCTAATCTGACATAATCAACCCAAATTGTGCTTTCTTTAAAATGTTCTACATTATTTTGAACTTAAGATACCTGCACAGCAGCAAGTTTTATTTTGAAGCAAGACTTAAGTTACACCTCACCTCATTTGATGTAGATCAAAGCTAAGTGACATGGCTTTATACCTAACACCAATTCTTCAAGAAATGGCACAGCTACATGTTAACTTATGCTGAAATTTTAACTATTCAATATTAATCTTCATTCAGATTTACCATTACTAAAATAAACAGTATAATTATAGTGGCTTCATGACAAACACAAATTCCTCAAGGAATAGGTATAGTAGCCTTTCCTTTGAATCATACTGAGGATTACTCTTTCTCTTTGTCAAAAATCTTGTAACAGATTTGCCTGTACCTAAATGTTCGTCATAGAGGCTTTACACGTAGGACATGTCCTTCAAGAAATTGATACTGCAACTTTTCTTTTGAATCATATTCAAGATTAAAGCAATAATAAGTTGACAGTGACAATAACAATCCCTTTACAAGGATGAATATCCTTGCTGGTGTATGACTATAATTCTGTCAACAAGTGTTTTATATTAGTTTGAGATTCTTTACTCTGGTTCAATAATTTTTTGTATAATAATCACATGACCGTAAGTAAAAATTACAAATGGTAGCAGTTTACATTCCATGCTTATTCTTGTGGAAGTTATAAATTTATGATTTATTTTGACAACCACTTTGATTGTCATTTGAAATTAAAAATTTTTGTGAATTACAAGCAACAAGGATATTCCTAGTGCTTTATATTTAGGGTAAACTAGGAACACTCAAAACTGTGGTCTTGTTTCATGAATCACAGATATTGAGTGTGTTGAAAGAAAAATTAATGCAAAAAATTTTTTCATT